TGAAATGAGACCATCTGCTTTCATCCTCAACACAGCGGGGAAGATCTCAGCCATGTCAATCACACAGACAGCCAGCTGCCACACACACACAGATGCACAAACACACACATGCATGTCTCACGATGGAATAAACCCATATTCATCATCATCTCACACACGTCAAGGAGTCTACTAGTCGCTCACAAACACGTATGACCTTGTCTCCCCACAGAGAGCTTTACACAAGTTCAGGAATGCCCTGTGTTAAATGCTCAGCTAAATCAACCTTAAAATCAGCTCTTTCCCTAGATCACCTTAAATCAGCCCTTTCCCTAGATCACCTTAAATATTGTGGGTGTGTGTACGTGTGTGTATCTGTGTGTTAGCAGGTTTTAAAGCTTGTAGTCCAAGTTCTCCCTCATGAAATGAGGGAATGAATGTGCACGCACACACACACACACACACACACACACACACACACACACACACACACACATTAAGGTGGTCTCAGCTTGCAGCTGTGTTTATTTATTCTGCTGGATGCTGGCCACTGAAGTTTAAGGCCTCCACCTCCTACCCCCCCAAAAAAACAACAACACTCACACACAAAACCAGCCACTTCATACCAAATACCCCTCAGAGCACCAATTCCAACAAACCCCAACAACACCCGCTGCCTATCACAAAATATACCCAACTAGCATAAACTCTGACATTACAGCATTTGCATTAGGATTTTGGTTTTACTACTATTAATAATTAAACTACACTAATAGTTACTATGTTTATTCTGATATTAATACAAATAATAATGACAATAATAATATATCTGAAAAAACTATTATTAATTATACTTAAATATAAATACAAATATTTTCAATATTTATTATTATAGTAAAACTGTTTTATATATATATATATATATATATGGGTCATTCCTGTGGTTCAGTAACATTTCAACTTGGAATATATTATTTTTTTCAACTACATATAATTAATTTGCTAAATACCCCACATCATTAGGCACATATCAAACCTCCAGAAAATCATATTTTCCCACCTCAGGCATTAAAGACCTAAAGATTATTTTCATTAAATTATTGCATTAAAGATTATTATTATTATAATTTTTTTCATATTTAGACACCTTTTATTCTCAACCCCATAACGGACAAAATGGAATTGGTTTAAAAAGGATTTTACACAGAACTTATTATAAAACAAATCTACCTCCTGCTCATGTGTCCCTCATAAAAATGTAATGATAACAAATGTAACATTTATCATCATTTTCAAATTTGTATGTGTCTGAAGTTAAAAATTGTGTCTATGGTCTCTTTATTTTTGTAAAAACAAAAAAACAAACAAAAAAAAGTTTAATTTAGACGTTTAACCAAAACATCAATTTTACTGTTTTAGTCCTTAACGTGTCAGATGGCAATCAGTAAGAAATGATTTCATTCTTAATTTTCTTCCCTATTTTTTTTTCCAAAATTATTAATGTGACGATCGATACATTGTCTTCCATTTTATTGTTCAGTTTTGTTTCTCTCTCATATTGTCCCCTTCTTTCTGGGTCAGCATATCTGCATGCCCAGCATTGTCTTTCTGCTGCTAATGTGGGTGTGATTTCTGATGCTGAATGCTTGCCAAAGTTTAAGTGGACATATTACATCAAACATTCAAAAATATGAGTTGTCATGATTTTGGTAAGTATACAATGAACATTTTATATTCATAATATATTTATATAATTTTTAATACAAATTATTAATAAATGTAGTAAATAACTCAACCCTGTCACAAGTTTACGGGGTTTGAGACGGGCTTGTGGTTTTTCACACAAAATGGCCAGTGCTCCTCGTGTAGTGTAGGAGAGCAGTCCATATATAGCAGCAATAAAATAAGTACATTGTATATACTTGAGGATTAAAATAAAATATTGAAAAATAATATGTAATATGCCTCAAAAAATATTAGTTATTACAAATGGGGTTGAGTTGGGACATGACTTCAAAGTCTGTTTTTTATCAAATATCTTGCATTTTTTTTAGAAAAATATTTTTCACAAGGAACACAAATAAATACTTACATTATTGGCAAAACTATAGCCACTGTGCACATTTTGTTAATAATTTTCTAAGTACAAACTCAGGGAAGTGCCTCAGGGACATGACAAAATGTTTGGTGTAAGATAGAAATTAGACATTATTTTATGATAAAAATGATTTAAATGCAATAATTATCTTTATTTATTATAATGGGCATACCAAAGTATTGTTAAAAGTTTTTAATACTTCATTTTGGTGAACCACCACTTTAAAAAGTCTGAAGGACTGAAATATTACCGAATCCTAGGAATGACCCATATATACGTCTGCAACGGTCTTATGCTCAAAAAGGCTGCATTTATTTCAATAAAAGAAAGGTATTACTGTGAAATATTATTACAATTTAAAAATACTTTTCTATTTTAATATATTTTAAGATTTCATCCTGAAGTTGATACATATTTTTTCATACATATTTTATTTTTCTTAATGTATAGACAATTTAAAATAACAGCATTTATGTGAAACAGAAATGTAACAATAATATTATAAATGTCTTTACTGTCACTTTTGTCAATTTAACGTGTCCGTACATTTGCAAGCATGTATGTGTGAGTGAGTGTGTGTGTGTGTGAGTGTGCGTGTGCAGGGTCCAGATAAACCCTACATTGTTTGGTCCCCATGAGGAAAACAGCTTATAAATCACTAAAATGATACATATATTTTTTTGAAAATGTAAAAATTCAAAATGTTTTCCTCAGGTTTAGGGGTAGGGGATAGAATTTACAGTTTGTACAGTATAAAAATCATTATTTTCCCCCATAAAACATAAAAACCCAAAGTGTGTGTGTGTTATAAAACACGAATATCCTATTTGTTTGAAAAGTTCCAGCTGGTTTCCTAGTCTCCTCTGAAAACGATCTTTTTGGAAAATCCTATGCAGTCTTCGCACTACGGCCATGAAATAAGACTCTCTCGTTGTGATGGGTCATTGCAGGTACAGTTGGTTATCGAGCTAATGAGTGATTTGACTGGCCGTCGGGTTCTCATAAAGACCAGCATGATTCATCTCCAAGCTCTCTTTAGTACATGATTGGTCGGCGGTGAGGATGGATGCGTGAGGTGAGAACGAGGACAAAATCATTTTGTTGCTGGAGAAACAAAGCGATCTGAGGTGAAATCATCTAAAAAATAACAAAAACATCAGCAACCTCTAAGACCCCTTTGAGAGTTTCGCGCTATCAGCTCAGCCTGTGTGTTTTCACAGGAATCTTTGAACTTCACTTCATTTGCGCCCTGATTTTATGTACGTTTTTAGTGGAGGCCTGAAAGTCTGAATTCCATAAAACTATAAAGCTTCAAGTTTCTATCAGCTTATTAAGTCATACAAACAGCGGACCAATTAAAACTGTGCGCGGGTTCAAGAGTTTACACAAACATACACTGTTGATCTCCCACTGCCTCGACTACATGGAGTCATATCTGTACACTTATACTAAAAAGCACACACTTGGGCACACAGACATGCATAGAAAAGGCATTGATCTCACATAAACTACCGTTCAAAAGTTTTGGGCCGTTATGATTTATTAATGTTTTTGAAAGAAGTCTTTTTTGCCCACCAAGACTGCATTTATTTAATAAAAAACACAGTAATATTGTGAAAATTACAATTTAAAATAACTGTTCTCTATCTGAATATATTTTAAAATGCAATTTATTCCTGTGATGGCAAAGCTGAATTTTTAGCAGCCATTACTTCAGTTTTAAGTGTCACATGATCATTCAGAAATCAATGTAATATGCTGATTTGGTGTTTAAAATTATTAGTTTTTTTATTATCATCAATGTTGAAAACAGTTGTGCTGCTTAATATTTTTGTGGAACCAGTGATACATTTTTTTCAGGACTCAATAGAAAGTTAAAAATAACAGGAAACAGAAATCTTTTGTAACATTATAAATGTCTTTACTGTCACTTTTGGATCAATTTAATGCATTATTGCTAAATAAAACTATTAATTCATTTAAAATGAAATCTTACTGATGCCAAACTTTTGAACAGTAGTGTACACACATATCTGAGATAAAACTATATACAAGTTAAAACAGTAATAGTTACTGACATGTTCAAAAGTATGTCTACAGTGTGTGTTGCAACAAACTCATGCTGTCAAACACATCTCTCACTAAAGATTTCACAAAGACTCAAATAGCGTGTGGAAGAATCATGGAGTTGAGGCCTTCAAGAGGTGCAGGACAGAGATCAACAGTGCGAACAAAAGATGATTGACATACTGTCTGTCTGGAAAAATGTAATCCTATGAGTCTGACAAAGGATTTTTACATTTTTAGTTTGCCTGGAGGTAAAATACATGGAGTAGAATACATGGACTGTTTCTGTAGTGAACCGCACTGATCTACTCCATCTCCACACACATGCACGACTCTCACAAATATACACACGCTCACAGCTTTGGTCGATTTCCCGAAATCTGCCCCAGTCCTGAGCCACATAAACCTGGCTGCATGATTCAGCCGCCTGGAATACCAGCGTTCCCACAGGAAACCTGGAGCAGCTTACACATGCATGCACACACTCATACACACACACACACACACACACACAAACAAACCTAAAGCTCCCAATCTGGCAAAAACCTAAAGGAACACAGGTCTCTCTAATCCAATCTCAAACTAATCAGTATGTTGATCATCAATATTAATTTAAAACAATTGATTACATTAAATTAAAGTGATTCTAAATGAGCTTTGGTGTTAATGTTGGGAGTCCTGAAAGTGGCCTGACATTTCAAAACAAAATATAGGGCTGAAAATTCAATGTAGCACTCACTCTCATTCAGACAACGTGGCAATGGGTTGGTACACAATGTACCATGGAAGAAAACCGTGTAAAATATGTACATCCTCAACACAACTGAAGAATGAATGTGTGAGTGTGTTCAAGTACCTCCACATAATCTTTGGCATGGCCCCAGTCTCGCTTGGAGTCCAGATTCCCCAGGCTGAAGCACTGCAACTGCCCAAGATGGATCTTCGCCACAGAGCGACTGATCTTCCTAGTTACAAAATTTGAACCTGAAAAAACATGTACACACAGATTTGAAAAATTATTATGAAGCATTCACTCTCATTTTGTCTTTTTGCATCCTTTATTCTTTCCTTGTACCTGTCCATTTCATTCATTTTTGATCACCCCCCCCCCCCCCCCCAGGAGCAGCTTACACATGCATGCACACACTCATACACACACACACACACACACACACAAACAAACCTAAAGCTCCCAATCTGGCAAAAACCTAAAGGAACACAGGTCTCTCTAATCCAGGATAAACACGACAGCACGGTTGTGCACTGAGAGGGTAATTACAAGCAAATTGAAAAGAAAGTGCAAGGTCAAAATACATATTACATATGGCAGACCAAACTGAATGTACAGTTATAAATAGTTGTTGTAATAGTCGTAAATGAGAAAATAGAACTTTATACTCAGGCAAACTGATGAACAAACTTATTTCCATATTTCATTTAAACAGTAGGCCTGCTTTTATCATTACTAAAATTTTATATATACAGTATATAAGAGATACATAAAATTCCTCACCAGTCCCAAACTCATATAGCTTGAATTTTGAATGTTTTTGAAAGATGTCTCTTTTGCTTACCAAAAATACAGTAAAACAATAATATTGTGAAAAAGTATTACAATTTAAAATAAATGTTTTCAAATTTAATATACGTTTAAATGTAATTTATTTCTGTGATCAAAGCTGAATTTTCAGCAGCCATTACTCAAGTCTTCAGTGTTACATGATCCTTCAGAAATCATTATATTGTGATTGAGAAACATTTATTTTCACCAATGAAGCCACTACTAATGGAGCTGCTTTGGGATCCTCGATGGACTTGATTTAATTGGCAAAACTAATTTTAGTTGACAACGGCATAAACGGAGAGCAATAGCGATTTGCAAATTGCTACTCCACTGGAGAGAAATCATCATTTTTCAATAGGTTGCTGATGATTTCATGCACTGTCACTCTCATTTTGGATTTCAGTTTATCAGGAGCTTCATCATTTTTTTTATCAAGGATCTTCATCATAGCCAGCTGGCAGACACGTTGACATATTTATGGAGCAATAACGTGTGACAATGAATCCCTTTCTTAAAAAAGTAGCAACAGATGACACCTGAATTGATGTACTTTTTGTATCTATCATTACCACAAATAGTAATGCTTGGAAAAAAAACTAATAACTAAGAACGCAGACTTACCATTAAACAGGAATGCACATTAATTTATTTAAATGTATATAATAAAGATTTTATATATCTATATAAAAATGTGAAAATGTATGAATATACCGTATATATACTGTATATATTTATAAAGTTATA